ACCCCAACTTTAAACAATGTCCGTTTAACTATTTTTTCCTTGGTACACCGCCATTCCTCTCTGGTGCGTAACGTAGCCACTTCTGCACTCCAACCCTGAATGTCAATTCCGTCAGCCTGCGGTCAGCAGCAGCTGAAAAAAAAGAAGTTACATTTTTTGTTTATTGAAATAATAAGAAGAAGAAAGCTGCAATGGATGCGTTCCAGTGTGTACCGTTTAGTGTACTAGGTTTTCAGGCGGCCTTAATTGAGCAATTCACCCATCAACCACATCTTCATATAATTGATTCACACTATTACTCATTTCTGTCTACTCGCTCTGTGTCTCAGAGGACGGTAGTGGACAGTTCAGAAACGTGCCCATCAGTGACATCATCAATGGTCATTTCCAATTAGCTAGGAATAATGCCACTGGTAGGCAGGTTTCTGAAATGTCCACAGCCCACCTTTGAGATGCAGAGCGAGTAGACAGAAATGCTGCCATCCTATTATGAGCATTAATGAGGACCACTTATATGAAGATAAGGATAAGAATGGATGCATTTTGCATCCATTCTTATCAACTTGAGGAAGAAATGTAAAAGACTTATGAATTAAATTCAATATTTGCCAAATCTGTTGTAAAGTAGTAAACCTAGTATTTTGAGGTGCAGGCTCACCAAACATGCAGTCCTTTATCAGCGTGTCCTTGAAGGCCCTCTTCTCTCCCTTTCCCACCCAGTTGAGGATGCAGGCTAGACTGTTTGTCATGGCAGCGGATAGCATTCGCCGGATCATATTTTCCGAGTTGGTCCCTCCGACTAATGCCAGGCGGGTAATCTTAACAGACGAGAGAAAATGATTAGTGTGCTACAGTGTACTATGTAAATAGACATCTTCTCATTTATAAATAAATACAAATGTAATGAATTTGAACACATTTGTATTACCTCTAAGGAAGAAATAAGACCACTACTGTGTCCAAACTAATCGACAAACAATGCCAACAACCAAATTGGCAATCCTAAGAAATTGTCAAATATTGATTAAGAAAAATATTATCGTGATTCGCGAGGCGTATTTTTACAATATTTCTGTCAAACACACATCCAAGTGAAAAAGAAATGTAATGCATCCACTCCTACAATTCCAGACATAAGCCCTTAAGATTTCAAACAAGAAATGTAAGACTTTTAAAACTTATAAGGATCCACAGGATACCTGCAAATGCATACAGAAAATATTAGAAGCCTCGACAGATTATAGAGAAAATGCTTTGTGTAAAAATTGTTCACCATCTTTCGACGGACTGCTTCCTCCCTCAAAGCAGCTTCAGTCTCATCAAACTTCTCCTCGTTGGTGAGTGGAAGCATTATGGGGAAGTTGTCTTCTTGTAACTCTGGTCCAGCTCCATGAATGTTTAGTTTAGCAAGTTCCGTCTTTATAAAGTTAATGTCACGTGAGATCTGCTTCACCTCCATACATAGCTCGGTAAGCATCTTCGTGGTTGTCATGGCAGCAATGTCTTGAAAAATAAAAAAATAAAGGTTTTAATTTACATTTCAAGGATATATTTTTAATTTCCAATAATTTAGAATGACACTAAGTAACTCACTGATAAGTGTTTGCCAACAGTAACCATTAAAGCTGCACTATGTAACTTTCCTATTTACCCTGGATTTGAACACAGGTCTCCAGCACAACTGCTGAAATATTTACCACTGAGCTTATAGAGCCTGCCTGCTTGCTCGGGGGAGAAATTGACCATAAAGTCATAATTTTTGTCAAACCAAGGTCATGTCTCACCTAGATAAAGGATCTAAATGTCTCAATAGAAGAGCAGGGAGACCAAAATCAACCACCCCAATTTTAAGTGATATTGTATTAACACTACCATACAGATTGGACAAAATAACATTGTAATCACAAAAAGGTTACATAGTGCAGGTTTAAGTGCTTACATTTTAAGCCTTAACACCATGACAAAAAACATGAAAAGATGGGAAAGTCACAAGGGATAGGTTTCTCAATTCAGAAGGCATCAGTACGGTTAAGAACCTGCTCAGAAAATGATACTTGCCTTTCAACACTGCTTGATTCCTCTCCATATAATCTCCCCCGTGGTGTTTCTGGAGCTGAAGGGGGGTGGGATGGGTGCTGCGGGGTCAGGTGAGCCAAGCCCAGTGCGCTGAAGTCAGCTAATCTTGAGCCATGTGCATAGCTGGCACCGCCGTCTAAAAGACAAGACACCATTATTAATTGTTTACAAGTAAGCCATGAGAACCATTGGCCCATAGGAGCCGATATCCTGTTTCCGCAGCATGATGTACAAGTACACCCCCTGGACATGATGTACAAGTACACCCCCTGGACATGATGTACAAGTACACCCCCTGGACATGATGCTAGTATGTCGCAGGGACTTAACCCAATCCAACCCTTGATACTGAGTGCCAAGCAGGGAGATATCGGGTACCATTTTTAACAGTCATTGGTATGACTCGGTCGGCGATCAAACTCACAACCTCCCAATCTCAGGGCGGACACTAACCACAAGGCCACTGAGCTGCTATTCATTCTTTATATTGAACATGAATTTGGGAATTTTCCAAAAAACAACAACATTTAAGATGAGAAATACATACCATTCCTTGCTTTCTCTAATGGCATAGCGTGGTAGGGGCTGGAGTTATATGTTGGCAATCCTAGAAAAAGAGAGAAATAACTAAATAAGGCAAATGAGCACTATCAAAGTTGTTATCCGTGAGCACCATATAGCAATTGCACCTAGCTAGCCCCATATAGTTACTTTCCAACTTTAGATAAAGGAGACCTGAGGGATGAACACACTTGACTACAGAGTGAGTAATTAAAGAATAGTTTCCCACCTAAGGTGCTGATAATTCCTGTGATCCAAAGATAAAAGACATAATAGCCTATTAGTCTACTTAATAACGAGGGGTGCACTCAAGTGGCTGCCGATGACCATTTATTCAGGATACAGAAAATATGACCAACGTTTCGGAGAGACTGAAACATTGGGTCATATTTCCGGTGTCCTGAATAAATTGTCATCGGCAGCCACATGAATGTGCCTGACTTTTACACCATTAGTTTACTTACCATCATTACAGTGGTCCATTGACTGGTCCAACTCCGCCAAATAGCTTCCACAAAAGCCTACAATGAGAGAACACAAAACATGAACTATGAATGCTGTAACTCGGACAAAGCACATTTACATACTGTCCGCCCGGAGGTAGTAGTGTGAAGTAGGGGTCGACCGATTATCCAGACCGATATTCCGCATTTTACAGATTATCGCTATCGGCCTTTTTAAAAAAATTTTTTTTTTAAATCAAATTGCCGATAAAACTTTGGATCTGATGCGGCCGTTTCTCTGGTTGCAGTCACCACTCTGTACACAAGCAATGTCCCGATCCAATTCTATCAGTTTCCCAGTTACACAGGGTAGCGTCTTGCAGCGGATAAACTGTGAGGGGGGGGGGATTGCTAGTGGAGCCTCGCAGCAACTCTGCTTTCTGCACCACAATCTGGTGCTGCTGAATTGGGACTACTAAATGAGTGAGACTCAAATATCAGAAGTTCAGAACAAGTTTTAGTAGTTTTCATTTTATTTCTATTTCATTGACTTTACTCAGGGTCAGAGAGGAAACCAGTTTTAAGATGTTGAAAAGTTCAGCAAACATAAAAAGGCATTTCAAAGAAGTTGTGTTGGAGTTTGTGTTCTTCTACATTTTGAGACCAAGATTTTCTGATATTACTGCAAATGTATATCGGTTCCAAATATCGGTTATCGGTCTCGTTGATTACTAATAATCGGTATCGGCCTTGAAAAAGCCATATCGGTCGATCCCTAGTGTGAAGTGGTTCACTTACCATTGTCAGCCTGGTGAATTGACAGAACATCCTCCGAGTGGCTTCCTCCAGAGGCTAAAAGGGAACAAAAGACAGGAATAATGGATGCTGTAACTTTTGAACACATATCACATGACTGATGTTTGAATGTATTGTTGGAGGAACTAAATGCTTGTAAATTAAAGCTCACATGCAATTACATATTGTTCCTGCCATTTTAATAAGTAATGACATACCACTGCTTGCATTTGGGGTTGGTCCTGAGGGGTACTGGCTGGATTCTGGGAGCACTGTAGGACAATGAACATCAGGTGGCTTGGCAAATCTTCTCTTCACACAGCTGGTTTCTGACTCCATGTACACAGGATTTGGCCTGGAAAATAAAAATGAAACATTCAACATTCCCATTAATTGAACTAATTTGCCCCATGGCCCATTTCTGTAGAATGAGGCCGCTTGACGTACAGGTACACATAGAGATGACACTAGTCTATCACAGGACTGGAGGTGGGGTTTTTACTTATTGTTTACACAGAAACCAAGGATTATATATTTCAAGAGGGAGCGATCAAAGTAAACATCCTAAGCCTGCTTCCTCCACACTGGGAGTGCTGTGACCACTTTTCCATTGCATCTTATGAGCGGTTGGGTTCTTTTGGTTCCAGCCTATGCACGCATACTGGTTCTTATCAATGCGACGTTGTTTGATAAGGGTTAAAGTCAGGCCAGACATGGAACCTGACCTCCTACAGGAATTCAACTGTACCTTACTCTTCTTTTCCCACGTTCACCTGCTTCGTCCTCAGAGCTCAGATCAGTGGTTGGACATCCAGTATTCACATACTTTTCTTCGTATCATTTGGCCTTTTCCAATGAGTCTGTAAAAGAAAAAGCATAAAATAATAGGATGACATTTTACTGACTAGTCTCACTTGTGACACATATGTCATATGTGGTATGGCACCACACACATTCAAACTGCCATCCATAAAACGTGTGGATACCTATATACTTGAAAATAGACAATAGTAATGCAGTGACTACTTACCACAAGTAATCAAGAGCCGGACATTCGCATATGTGGTCCATCCTTTATGGGCCGTCATGTGTTCTTTAAGGGCCTTCAAATACATGTTTTTTGGAGGCCATAACAATTTACCTTCCTTTAGACTGAACCAGCTGGCAAGAACTGTTGCAGCTCCGCCATTTGGAAAAAGTACAACGGCCCAAAGCACCACCTCCCTTTCCATTCTGTATACAATAAAGGAAATAATGTAAATGATTAAAAAAAAAACCTGCTCATAAATCATAAGATGTCATTTACTCGCCCAGCAGTATGAGCGGTATGCTACTGCATATGAGCTATTGGAATAGCTATGAGGCCATTTCCTTCTGACTCTGGATACAGAACACATTTACGTTTGATACATCCAAGTTTACCAACCCCGATATTGTCACACAACTCTCTAACCTTGTATGTACCTATGCATGAGGACTCGCAGGGATAAGTGTAATATGATTCTTGGTGTCTGAACCTTTTGTAGATCATATATACCTCATCTTCTTCCTGGACTATATTCTGCACTACTGCAATACTATGTCCCACCTCAATACAATTATCCCCCTGCTTTGTAGACAAGGTAAAACGACTACTGGAGACCTTTGTGTACTGTACAGCAACACCGAAATGTTGAGGGAGTGGACCATCAGTGTGGATTTTCTGTAAGACTGGTTCATCTGTTGGTAATGGAACCTCACAACGTGGCTGTTCTGACAACCTTTTGACCACCTGTTGTAGAGGTTGGTGTGGCTTGCGTAAAAGATGCTTTATTTGGCCAAGATAATTCTCAAAAGGGAATCCTGAAACATTATCTAAAGGTCCAAATTGTTTGTATTCATCGGCTAAATGTATAAGCTGGTGTACACTGAACACAATCTGATCCCTGCCATACAACTGTCCAAAGTGTTCCACAAAGGAAATCATCAATCTATGCGCTAATTCAACCTTTTGGCCAGAAATTCCAGGAGACAAAAACAAATACATGGCCACTGAAAACAACATAAAGTTGTCATAAATCTCACTGGGAAGGCAATCCTTCAGAACTACAGGGCCCCAGTACAGTATGAAGGATCGGAGCTCTGTAGCTTTCCAACGATCCAGCTCATTCAAACCCCTTGGCTTGCGATTGAATTCACAAGGGGTGTGGGAATGTAACCCCAGCAGTTTGCTTGATATACTGTTAACAGTTTGTGAAGGAAGCCTAGTGGCTAGATTGTCATTTAACCACATATTCAACAGTTTTCTCATCACACCAAGACAACAGAGGTGCATATAATCTATTGGGAATGAAGAAACCATCTTTACTGTCCCTGTTAAAGGACTGAGTGTCTGTTTCAAGTGATGTTTTTCATCAATCATATCACAATAACTTGAGTCTGTCCTGAGCCTGACATTTGTTTCAGGATAAGTCATTTTCTTCCTCCACACACCATGTTGATCACACTTGTCACACCCTGAATAGCCATTATGTGACTTGATATTCTTAACGTAGGCTCTGGCTGGAGCATCACACACAAATGAGGAAACCCGTACTTTCAATCGGTTACCATTATGAACAACGCCATTAGCCAGTACATTTTTAAGGTCGCTAATAAATTGCTGCAGATACTCAACAACACACTTGGGCTTGCTTAAACCACAAAAGATACCGACAATAAAGGGGGACTTAGTATAATCACATTTCAGAATTGCAAGTATAGGCCAGAATTGAAGTCTTGAACTCTTAAAGAGAGGGAGACCATCTATGTTGAACTGTAAAGTAAGAGTTCTGAGGCTCACTGGTAAACTCAAACATTTCAATCGTGAAAGTATCCCTTGCACCAATCCAAAATGGTAGTACTCGCCACCTTGCATTTGAGTGGTTGCAACATCATGTTGTGTTCTAAGCAGAGTTCTTCCATCCTTAGGGAGCATAGGGTGAAAAAGCTTTAAGATGGACAGCAGAGCAGACAAAGCAACCAGACTGATTGAGTAGGATGTTGCCCAATATCTTAGGCTCCTCATAAGCAGATCCTGACTAGGCTGATGCTCGTCATGGCTGTCGGAGTCAGAATCTGATTCAACATTCCCAGCCACACTACCATCAGTATGATCATTTCCCATTTGTACATGATCTGATTCAACTTCATCATCTCCAGCTAAACTACCATCAGTATGATCATTTTCCATGTGTACATGGGAAGCTAGTGGTGTATCTAGTTGGGAAACGTGTGAGATTCTGAAGGGTGGTTCCCTATTCACACAGGGGTCTAAATGTGACTTGTTATTATAAAGAGTTTCCTCGTATTCCTTAAGGATATCTTTCTCCATGTCCCTTACAGTTCTGATGACTCTACGTCTTTTAGACCAATAAGAAGCCATCTTAGGTAAAGAGAGGTGGCGCTGCTATAATTACTTTACTTGGCCTTGTGTATTGCAGTGATCCCCTTGACTCGTCTTGTAGTATAATCCTGAAAATGGAGGAAAACAAAGCCGATTAAAAAACAGTATGCATAAACTAACAGTACAAATATATATCAGCCTCCTGGTGCAATGCAAATATAACTGTACTGACGAAATTCCCTAGAATTACACGTTTTATTCCATGGGTCTTCAACCAGGAGTCCAGGACCCCTAGGACATACATTTTACCCAAATATCCTATATGATGCTTTAGCTTGACTGTATCAGACCAACTTTGATGTAATTTCTGTAGGATGTAGGGATGCCAGAAACTGACCATGATCAAAATCGGCGGGGTCGGTGTGTGGCAAGCTGCAGCAGCAGTCTGCTCAGGGCAGCCTGTGCTGCTGGCTTCCTCCAAGTTTTACAGTCAAAACTGGTGTTGTGACCAATGGCCATTTACAATTATTAATACTATTACTATTATTAGTCTATATTTTGGTTGAAACTAAGCCAGAAAAAAGAAAAAAAAAACATAAATAATAAAAAAATATATAAATAAAATCGAATTTTAAAAATAATCTTCGATTATGGAGACTGTAACGAATAATAGATTAATCGCTGGCATCCCTAGTAGGATGGTAGTTTAATGTCAGATTGTGTTAGCTAGTGTATCTGCTGCGTTAGCTAGGTGCTAGCCAGGGCAAGAAAATATCAACTGCGTCATGCGATGAACTGTTTAATTAATTTATGATATAGGCTATATTATAACAAAAAATATGCACAATTTCACCCAAATATCCTAAATAATGCTTTAGCTTGACTGCATCAGTGGACACTTTATGTAATTTCTGTAGGATGGTAGAGTTTAATGTCAGATTATGTTAGCTAGCGCTGCGTTAGCTAGGTGCTAGTCAGGGCAATAAAATATCAACTGCGTCATGGGATGAACGACGTTAAATTCGTTGATGATATATATTATTATAAGTAATTAGTTCCCTCTTTTGCGCTCTGAATAGCCTAAAAAAACATAACAGGGTGTAACTGAGGTGAACATATAGAGTAGGCATGCACAACGGTCATGTTACATTTCTTACCGATTTGTGATATCTGTCTCTTCTCTTCAGGCGGTTTGGCGGCAACTGAACTGCCTGCCTTCCTCCACACCCTGAGGTGTACGCTCTTTCACGTGACCAACGTGCTTTCAAGATTAAGTGCAATGTGCAACAGGCATGACGGGTAATCTGTGACGTTTCGCTCTCTCAAAAATTGGGCCATTTTGTCTTCATGCACAGCAGCTCTCATAGGAAAGAACCAGACCCCGCCTCCGACGCTGGGTCATGATCTCGCCCGAGAGGAGCGCCACACGTTGAAACAATGTCAATTCAATGTAGGGAATTTCAACGTTGAAAAACCGGCATCTATATTACATTGATTCAACAACATTTTTTCAAACGTTGAAATGGTATTTGTAAAAACACATCGAATCAACATTGATTTTTCAACCTCAACCAAAAATAACCAATCTAACCAAAATCCAATGTTGAATTAATATCTTTTGCTATCTGGGGGAGAACACACTGCCCTATTAATAACATTTCCCAGATCAGAAAATAGTTTAATAAGCGCCATGTTATTATAATAAGATGTAAACACATCCTGGTTACATGGAATGCTCATCCTGTGACCTCTAAACTACAAGGATGCACATAGGGTGTACACACACACACACACACACACACACACACACACACACACACACACACACACACACACACACACACACACACTACATTGCTCTGTCTGTCAGCCCCACAGCAGCAGCAGTAGAACAGAGTGTGCTTTTGTTGGACAGTCCTTCCTGTGTTTGTGGGGCAAGATCAGCTGAAACACTATTTGTCTGGATCATAATTGTTTTGTTTTGTTCAAGGAATACAACAATGATATGTAGAACAAAGGAGGTATTGAGTGTGGTATTAAGAATCATTATAACGTGAGATGCTCTCAGTCATTGCAGCAGTAGATGAAGCCGAGGAGCACTGAGCACAGAGCAGTGCAGGAGCGCTCAGTCTTACTGATCTTGGTGGGAAAGTGGCTGAGTCAGCGTTTCTGTAACACCTGGCCCTATTCATAAAGGTTCCCAGAACAAAGCCGCTCCTTGTGACGAAACTCTATAACTATGAGAGTAGAGCGGAGGATATTTGAATACGTTTACGAGTTTAAAGGTAGTTTAACTGGATTAAAGGGGATGAAAATCCTACAGATCAGAACGTGCAGGGATGTGTGCCGCCTTGTTTTCTTTAATTTGATCGCCTTATCACACCTTTTCAAAAGAATGGGTCATACAGTCTATGGTCATACCTAGCAACAAGGCAAACCACACCTTCTCTATCAGGGTACAATGTTTTATCCCTTCTTGCTCATATTTGCCTAGGAAATCATAAGATAAGACTCCTTCCTTCAGATCATATTTTTAAGAAGGTTTGTGAATATGGTCGCCTGTGCTGCATTCATGATGTTTTTCTGAATTGGAACGAAGCTTTGAAACGTAACCATAACCAGTGAAGCGTTGAGGGGTTTTCATTGTTCTCTCCTTCCTTTAGATGACTTTTGGCTGGTCGAGCAGCGTGACTCTGCTGTTTGACTTCTGGGATGTGCACGGGCCTGCAGGTAAGATGCAGAGTCTGACAAACGTCTCGCTTCAGAGGACACACACACACCGATCTAACGTCTACCGTTAGCGTTTACATCTTAGAACCAGCTAACTGTAATGCTATGCCTATACAGACATCAGGATAACTTTATATAACATCATACTCATAGCAAGCTTGAGCAAGGGTATTTTAATATGTTTCACTTGCTGTAATGTCGTGCCTGGTAGCTGGAAAGAGGTTCCTAAAAAAGCCTTTTCCTCAGTGGAGGTTAGCAGCTGTCATGATTCCCATCAGTTTCACTGGAAACAAACGTTGACCTGCTTCATAATAAACTCCTGCAGTATGATAAAGCCTGACCAAATATTTATTAAGCCAAGACCAATATTTAGATTATAAAAAATCATCCAGCATTAAAATACACATATAAAATCACACCACATATTTTAAATGTAGTTCTAAAAGAATTGTGGAATTGTTTTGATGTGCTTTTCCTCGATCTGAGGACAGTTAACCGGATTTTCTTCTCCTTTTTTTTTGTTGACAAAATACGCCTAGCCTTTCAATGCATCACTCTTAAATGTTTTGACGCATGTGGTTGTGCTTTTAATGAAATGAACCATTATAAGCTACCTTTATTTTGATTTAGATACCAAATATTGTCAAGTAAACAAAGCAGTTAAACTAGTTATTGGGGCGAGTTCTCAACATACAGGTCAGTACTGTTACCTACAGTATATATCCATAATATTAAACAAAATTATCCACATTATCCCTTTTTAAAAATGTCTAACAGTTTGAAAAATGACACTAATTTGCTTTCTCAGATGCAAGAGACTCCAGGAAGTCTCTCCATACAGCCAAGAAATCACAATATTATAATGTACAGATATATATGAGGAAGTATATGACCGCTATTATCTTATGGTATCAAATGAGCGGTTTACTAAGTTCTGCTGTGTGTGTGTGTGTGTGTGTGTGTGTGTGTGTGTGTGTGTGTGTCTGTGTGTGTGTCTGTGTGTGTGTGTGTGTGTGTTCAGGGATGGTGCTGTCGGTGTTTGTGGTCCTGCTGCTGACGGTGTTCTACGAGGTGCTCAAAGTGTGGAGGCTGTGGTTGAGCAGGAGCTCTAAGCTGGCCCAGCCTCAGTCTGCGTACGCCCCCCCCCCCATCCTACCGCAGCGACAGCACCGCAGCGCTGGAGAGCAGCCCCTCCGAGTCCTCGCTGAACCCCATGGAGCCCCCCCCTCCCGCTGCTAACACCACACACAGGTCAGGGTCCTGAAGTAGAAATAGCAGAGTCATCAGAATCACCTACTTAAAGTATCGCTAGGGAATGTTTATTGCTATATAACATTATTTTAGAATAAAATAAAATAAATAGCACTTGGACTCATAAATAAACTTATTAGATGTCATTTGTTTTAGTCCATAACTCAAGTGATGACAGACATGTATATGAATTGCAACTTCACTAATTGGCAGAGGCTATATATATTTCTATATATAGATGTATGTGACTGTGACCTGCCATAATGGTTGAACCTAAAACAAAAATGTACAGTTCAGGACTTGCAAAATCCATCTTGACAGACTGAACTCAAACTATTCTAATGAATACAGCATTTTAGGTAATGAATCAGGGTGGGGGGAGAAAATTGATTAATGTAAGAGTTTAGACAGATTCTAGAAGTCACTGAGAATTAAGCAACTTACAGTATACAGTATATATGTTTTATACACGGTGTATCCCTCTCTCTCTCTCTCTCTCTCTCTCTCTCTCTCTCTCTCTCTCTCTCTCTCTCTCTCTCTCTCTCTCTCTCTCTCTCTCCTCTCTCTCTCTCTCTCTCTCTCTCTCTCTCTCTCTCTCTCCTGCAGATGGCTGCTGCATGCGATCCAGACGGCCCTCCACATGCTGCAGGTGTCTCTGGGGTACATGCTGATGCTGTGCGTCATGTCCTACAACACCTGGATTTTCCTCGGGGTCGTGGTGGGCTCCGTCCTCGGGTATTTCATCTCCTTCCCTCTCGTGGTTCACAAATGATGATATGGACATACTTCAGACACAGGGTGGATTTTATCTGTATTTGTTCCCTGAGTTAAGAGGATCTTATGCTCTGGATATTTGAGGGGAAACCACCTAATTTGAATTGTGTTGTTCTGCTTCTTAGTTGTGTTTTGTGAAAATGTGAACACTAGGCTAGGACAAGGGGAGTTCCTAATACGCTGAATGATAAGATGAGCAACCCAACACACACTACTGCTGCATGAAACACATCTGGATATTGAAACTAAAATATTATGCACAAACTCATTTGCACTGTCTGTGAGCAGCACTGTGTCCCTCTTTAATCTGTGGCCTCAGGGCTCTTTAGAGGTCACTTTGACTGGACATACTTAGTAGTATCATTTGTCTTTGACCAGAGGAACAATATGCATATTTGTATCGTTTTTCAGGTGTTTTCTTTTATGTTAAAGAGATACAACATTGTGTTTCTGAGGCGTAATCTTGCTCATTTTATGAACAGCAAACATCTAGGAGGAGATTGGAGTTTAGTTTAATTGGACTCCAGCATTTAAATTCTCCACAGCAGAGGAACGACAACAATGTAAAGAAGGGAAGTCAGGCTCGTGGCATATTACGGTTATTTCTGGTCAACAGTGTCAGACGCAGACTCGCACTCTGAGCTGAGATTGGCGGTCAGAGGGCTTTTGACAGGGCTAAGAATCAGGAACTGAATCTGTGATCGCGGTTTGTAAACTTCTCTAATGTGTCATCTTGGTTCACGGACCTTCTCTCACGTGAAAGACAATCATGTGGTTCGTGGCAATCATTGACAACCCTTGACCTGCAAAGAAAAGAACCCTGAAACCGACTGTTTGAGTTTTTAAACTAGTTTTAGACTAATTCCAGTTAGTGGTTTGTTGAAAATAATAATAAATGTCTCCTCAATGCGTTTCTGTCGCAAGAACTTGGCCGACAAAAATAAAGAATAAAGTTGATGAAATAGTTGTATTCATCCATATTTTAATATGTATATACAGTTTATTGCAAGAAGGGAAAGGCACTAGACAAACAGCTGCTCACACCACAGACAGATACTTGTAATAAATAAACAGGAGAAGGGGACGGACAGTTTGTTGCATTGGAACGAATGGTTCGGAACAAACTCTAAATGTGCCTTGGATACAGTGAGTGGTTTTATTACAGGTCACTGAATCATAAAAATGAGAGTTAAAAGTTTTCCCTAATTTCATTTGAAAATACATTGATATGTAATTGCAATTTTTTAAAGATGTTCCTGCAAAGAAATATGTAATTTGATACTAATTCTAATAAAAATGAAGACATGAAATTATATGTTTGTACTTTATTTCCAAAAATGTTCTTTCTTGTCCCCCTCTTGCTTTTACTGAAATGTATGAAGAGTGTTACTGATGGGAACATTTGACTTAACATCAGTTGATGCATGGCAGGTCAGCAGAGCATGGACAACGTGAAGTTTATGGCCTTGTATTCAATATATTTGTAGAATCTAATATCCCTATGCTTTGTACAATATAAAATTATTATTTTTCAGGAAACTTTTCTATGACATTTTGCAGGATTAAAAGTTTCATATGTAAAGTTTTACACCATTTTTGTATTCAGATAAGGAATTGAGACCTCATCCATTTCCCCCAGGTTAAACATCATTTTATATTAGAAAATATTGGCTTTGAAGAACAATTGCCACTGGATTGTCATTATAAAATAAAATATCAGTGATATTTGGGAAACCGAAGACCATTAAGATCTCCCTCATCATGGAAGTGCAAATCATGTTTGACTAAATATTTAGTGTTGAAACATAATGGCCATTTGTGAATACAGGAAAAGCTTTAAAGAACTGCATAAGAAAATTACATTTTATAAAAATAGATACTATTATTTAAAAATAATAAACACAATTCCCCAAACAACATCGTAAAGGTTGATTGTCGCACCCCCTGCTGCCTATGTAGAGGCTGTGCATAAGAAAGCAAAACAGAAAAAGATACCTGTAGTATAACTTGAAAACATCAATAAGTTAGTTTATTACCACATCCCTGATCCTTGTATTGGACCCTTAGCATGTTTACATAGCATAAACGAGCAGTGTCTTGAAGAAATCTGCATTGAGACTCGATAAGTTGCACAGAAAGAAACCAATCACCAAATATTATAAAGTCAAGAGGCGGATGGGAGAGCTGGTTGTGGAGTGTGCAATATTAACAACAATGCACTTCAACTTAAAAGGAATATTTCTCCCCCATAATGATCATTTGTTTATGAATTACTCACGCTATGTAACCTTAAATACTTTAAAAATGTAAGTAAATGGGAACCAGCTTTAACCACAGCGAAACTACATCAACAAGTCTGTTCACAAACTTTCCTACAAATTGTGCAGAATAATCAAATGTATCCAGTCATATGCTCACTTATTCATAAACATACATTTAAATAAATCCTTACTTTAATTATGTATTTATAACAAATATAAATAATAAAGTTGCTATACGCGTACTGATTTATGTTTCCCATGGAGTTTTTTTTTTTTTAAATGAATAAACAAATGATTATTTTGGGGGTGAACTGGTCCTTTGATCCCTTGAAACAGTCCCTATTAATTCTCTCCCATTACATGTGATGCACTCTCCAGTTTTAGAGTTCTGTTCGGAGGATTGTCTTCCTACGCTAAAACCACTTCCACATCCATCGGGTCAATAATGTTGTCCTCTCCGTTCAGACCGTTTGTGATTGGCTGAGGCTCGTCTTCTTCCTGCCCCTCATTGGCTTGCGACTGGAAGCCGCTGTCGTCCTGCAAGCTCGAGTCTGTGACCACCTGTGGTGCTGGAGACGACTCGTTATCTGATTCCGCTGTGGAGACTTCTGCAATCTTTTCGCTGTCATCTTCCTGTACCGCTATCTCGATTTCCTCGATGGCGTTCTGGATGGCCGCTTCCTCCGTATCCACTTCCTGCTTCTTGCTTCCCACCAGCTCCTGGAGAATTGTCTGCGGGGATGTCTTATCTCTGGGAGACTTCATTGGGACGTCCTCTCGCACGGTGGTGACGTGTGTGACATCCATCTGCACACTGTCCTCCAGGGTCACGGTGCCCGTTGTTGGCTCCGTCCCGTTGGTGATGTCGCTCTTGGTCTCCTCTACAACCGGAAGCCCCAACGCCACCACCGGGTTGATCAGACCCCTGATTTCATTCACGCTGTCAGGAGATTTGGGGTCCTCCGACGGGCCGAGGTCCTCCTCTTCCTCGCCCTCACACATCTCGTCGTCCTCCTCAGGGATGAGCTCCACGCCTGGGACCTCCATGCAGGACTCGAAGGGCAGAGGCAGCCCGTCCAGCTGGATCATGGACACCACCTGCCGGCGCCTGCTCGCAGAACCCCCTCCTTTAACGCCGTCGCCCCCCTCGGGCTCATCGGCCCCAAATTCGGCAGCCCAGTCCACCGCAGAGCTCTCTCCCAGCAGGTGCAGGTTGGGGTCGCTGTTGGTCAGAATCATGCTGTCTCTGTACAGGTTGTGTCTCCTCTGGACCGCGGCCTCCTTCACAGCTGGACAAAGAGAGAGAACAGGAGAATCAGTTGCTTTGTAAACGAGAACGCTTGATAATGTACTACCACGGCAGCCATCATCTCAAGATCGTATGGTGTTTGACCCTCACCCATCATGATGTCCTTGGAGACTGACTGCAGCACCAACTCCTCGAACATATTTTCCACCAGCAGGAAACGGGAGAAGTCCTCAAAGATAAGCTCTTTGAAGCGAGGCAGCTCCTGTGGAAGGAGGAAAAGAGATAAGCTTTTATAATTGACCATTGATACGTTTCTTTCCACACTTTGAACGTTCGCTTCTTCTCACAGGTAAGCAGGAAGGCGACAGCTGCTTCAGCATGTACGGGATGATGATCTGCAGCAGAGCCTCTCTGAAGAACTTCTTGCGCACTGTGCTGCTGTCGTAATCATATTTCTGAGGGTAAGACCAGAAACACACATGGATATAAATGACTCATTATAGTTTTCTACTCAAATCATCAATTATATATACATCAGCAATTCACATCCTCAAATATTTGCTTCTGCTTAGACTGCAGAGTCTATCTGGAGAAGAATACATGGACAGTATAAAAAGCTGCTGAACTGAGAGAATTGATTTGAGTTACTTTGAACAGATAATACTAAGGACTACGGATGCCCAGTAGGTCATGGGAGAAAGCAATATTATAGTAAACCTTCTTTCCTGACGTTTGAAAAAGTCTTTGCCCATGATCATTTGTCCAAGTTAGTGTTTGTTTCATACAGACGATATGAAAACATTTTTTGAGGTGGAAAACACTTTTTATCTACCTGTTTCACAAATCAAAAAAGAAACAACTGTTGGGTGAACTAAACTTAACTCAAAAGTCTGTTTTTTAATCAATATTCTGCTAATTTAATTAGTGCTGCAACACAAACAGTGCAAACCTCTGATGAGGTTACTGTTTGTCTAATATACCGCTCAACAGTGTCTCCTGTTTACCTTGAGAACCCTGTCCTGGCAGCACTGCATGGTCTTGCACATGTTCTCTTCTCCCTTGGTCTCCAAAGACTGGTGGAGCAGCTGCTCAAATGTGTACACCGCATTGTCCATTTGCTGCAAGAAAACAAGTGATAAGTTATCCAATAGCCCAAGAAACAGATTTACCTGTGAAAATAGTGATACTCTTTTTCGCCAGCAGGTGTGAGTAGAGACTCCCCTGCAGACAGGTTGCTGGTGTGTGACATGTACTCAGAACTAAGGGAGTGTTTCAGGCCTCCTCACGCTGCTTTGCTACATGCTGATTCTTTGTTATACTACGTGTATCTCCTCACCTCTCTCATGAGGATCTGAGCCCTGCTGACGAACACCGAGGGGCTGGCCACGTCGAACCTCTGCTGCAGCCCCTCCAGGTTCAGCTGCTCCACCTTCTCGTAGCAGCTCTGCATCTTCACCGGGTGGAAGGCGAGCATGGACAGCCTCTCCATGTTCTGAGGGGAAGAGGGGGAGAAGAAGGTCAAGGTGATGGAGGTGGAGCAAGCTTAATACAGGAGGAGGTATATAGGACCAAAACCAAAAAGAGGTTTGAGTATATCGTTCCTGTCACAGAGGGCAGCTGAGGACACTTCCTGACTTCTAATTCAAAGGAAGCATTAAAGGTAGCTAGAATTTGAAAGTACACAACCGAAAAAACTTCCTTACAGACTTCCTTACAGAGCCCCTCCTCCAACACACACGAACGAATGAGGGCACGAGATAAGTTTGTGCACGAGATGGAAGGCTGACAGGCAGGTAGGCCATCCAGTTATCTGCCGCGGGCCGACGCAGATAATTAGACTAGCTTTTTACAGCGCCACGGCTTCCACAGATGGAATATTTGTATATATTTATTGTCAAAGCATTTAATGTATTCATTGCTATCGGGATGTTAAGAGCATTCCATGGAATATAACAAAAAGTGTTTCTGAAGTGAATTACCTACCCTACCTTGAAGCTGGCCAAGGCTTTACAAACATGCAGTCTTAAAATACAATCTGATTATTTTATTATTATATGTAAAAGTCCTGCATGATTTTTTTCTAACTTCAAATTGGATAAGTGAGTTTCAAAATTCTTAATTCTTTTTTTGTTGACAGATTTAATTTTTAGGTTTTATAGGGCATTCTGGATCATGGATATGAAAACTATCGACAGCCATACAAAATAAATCACGCCATTGTTGTATATTGTATAAACAAACCCTGTGTAGAAACTGGGAATGGAACTGGAAAGTTTAGTGAGTTAGTGATACTGAATAAGACATTTCTGGCTCAGGATTATGGAAACAACTAATATATATCAATATGAAATTCCCTGGATGTTTATTGACAGTAAGAACATAATTTGTTGGATACCAAGCTTTCTAAGAAATGATGTTTGAATATGCAAATGAGGTACTATCTAATACCTTTGGTATATTTAGGGACAAAGTTAATACAATAAATAAATGAATGTGTATTTGGGAAGTTTTCTACATTCTAGTCTGAAAGAAGAAATGTTATTGAAGCAAAACAGCCCAAGCTGTCGGCTGGAGAAAAAAAAGCAGCATGGGAAACTGATGTGGGAAAAAAAAGGGTTTGTTTCTTTTGGATAACAGCAACCGTTTTGCTGTCACCCAATAAAAACAAGAATTTATTTTCCCAGTAACCTCCGGTAATGCAAGTAAAAGCATGTCTGTCTAAGCTTAATTTATCACAGTTTTTTTTTATTTCAACACCAATCATAGACTAATGTGAATGGGGGTCATAGTGACTAACCCA